GAGTTGCCGCCCTGCAGCCCTTCGCGCCGTGTATTGGCAAGTCCATAGGTAGGTGTGTCTAGATTATTAGCACCCGCGCTAACCGGCTGACCAATGAAGAGACTTCAGTGACAGCGGGTAATGTCAAGGTCTCGGGAATGGGAATGGGGCCAATCAATGCCAAATCATGAATCTCTCAACGTATGCACATGTCAATGAACGCGTGTGTGCATACAGTACATACATACATACATATGTGTTCTTTCGCAGCACCACACATACACTCGCCCGAACGTAGGAAGCCACTGCTGCAAAGAGCAGAGGACAGCAAAAGGGAGGGGTATTGCAGTCCCTGCCGAAGCCCAGATATCGAGGATATCGTGGTTCCCAACAATTTGAAAATCGTTCCGAAGATCCAGCAGTCATTGTGTCAACAGCTACAACGAACACTACTACTGCTGTAGACGAGTAAAACATATCAGCAACACATCCACACTCGTAGCGCCACACATACCACCCTCGCCCGAACCTAGGAAACCACGAGGTACAGGTGCGTGCTGGTGGATGTGCTTGTTGTTTGAAAAACACAGGAGCTCTAGAGAGTTGGCAGGGCACATTTCGGGGGGGGGCAGAGAACAGAGAAGTACAGATACAAATACCAGCTATGGGTCTTCACTGATCATTTTGCCCTCTCTGGGCTGATCATTTACAATATACCGAAAATAGACTAGTTGAGGCAGCTAGACGACTGATCATTTCAAAGCTACACAGCTAACCTGCCCTACTGACCGCAGCGCGACCACCCACCAACCCTTCTACGACCCTGTCTGTGGCCACCACCCTGTCGCCGGCTTCTCTCATGGCCTACAGGGGGAGATAGTTGTTGCGTGTGCAGAAGTACACTGGTGTCTTTCTCTGCACTTCTCTCTCTCCCGCTCGCTCTCGCTCTCATTTTTTTTTTTTGGCGCAAAAAAAAATCTGACAGTCCAGCCTAGACCCAAAGGGGTTAATGCCTCTCATCAAGATACGCCGCTTTCTAGCCGGAGAGTGTTGAGGAAGTCGAGACTTTTCACATTGCTACTTCATGGTTATTCGAAGCGTGATACGGGAAGGATTACCCCCGCTCCCCGACTCCACAGGAGGGGCCTATACCAAGGGTGTCGATCGAATCGAACAGCTTGGTGACCAGCTTGATGTGCCCAGCCAGGTTTCCCTACTGGCGCCTTGCATTCCGTACCGTAGAGGGATGCGGTTCTTGGCACGGATTGGCGACACCGTACGGGCCGGGGTCTTGGCACAGCAGGGGTTGCGGAAACAAATCGGGTTGGTTCAACGTGATTGAACCCTCATGTGACTCCGAATACGTTTTCTGTCGAAAAGGTCAACAGACTGTGGACGTCTGTCCCCTCGTTGCTGCATTATCCTTTACCGCAGTATTCGTGTGTCTTTTGCGCGCGGCCATACCACATGGGAAGCACACACCATTCGCGTACATGGCCCCTGCGTTTAACTCACAGGATGTCTGTCCATGTGAGATTCTGAATGGAGCCTAATCCAACCGAGGCCACGAATTGAGGTTCGACAACCCACAGGAGCATGTATGTCCACGGACCAACATAGATTACCGCGCAAACGTCACGTGCAACAACGATGTGCAATCACCCTTGGTTTTGTTGTCTGTTCTCTCTCTCTCTCTCTCTCTCTCTCTCTGTCTGCTCGATGATGTGCGGCAGAGGATTAAGGAACAATAAAAACACACAGATGATGTAGTTTGTTTGGGCAAGGGTGAATGGGCACGCGCCGTGCGTGCGAGTAGACCGCTACTCGCCCAACTTTGGTTCCGGTTCGCCCTAGTCCGGATTTGATTTATTCAGTTTCCTTTTTTTTTTTTTCTTAATATGACACAACGAATCCATCTCTATCATAGAGTCTGAGACAGATTAGCAATGAATTCATAGCGTCAGAAAGTACCTGTATGTCTACGATTTCCCAGACAGCATGTAGGGACATCTCCCCTGTGGGTAACAGGCTCAACAAGACAGTTTGGTGTAGCTGTCTTGTGTGTGTCATATATGTTATGTTGGGAAGGTGCAGAAGAAATGTGTTAGGTACTGTTGGGCTTAGGTAGTCTGGCGTTTTGTGTGTGGCACCCTTTGAGTCGTAGGGCATGCAAACTCCCTCAATTTTCAAACATGTTTTCAGTGTGGTAGGCGTATGTACCGGGTATGCATGTGTGCGGACACATTTCGGAGTATGTGCGGACACACAGGAGTGGTCTCACCATTTTCTTACCGTTTTGTGTAATTTCGTGTCGTTAGATGTGCAAATGGCACGGGAGAACATTCTCTCATCATTGCCTCCTGACGTGGTCGCCGATAGAGGCGTGGGGTTGAGGTTTCATCACCGACATGTGGGTGTGTGCTAAATGCAGTGGGTATGGTTACCTATCTCGTCCGTGTGTAGGCAGAGGGTATAGCTATCTCTCCCATTAGTAGGCAGCGTGGACCACAGGTAAAGACAGGGTCTATAATTTCATGCATGCTACATCATTTGTATTTGGCATGGGAGGAATAAGAGGTTGTTCTAGTTTGTAAGCAATTTTGACGGTGTATGGGCACGGGGAGTACTCCCTGTGTCCGTGTTGTGCCCAGGTGTTGCCGCATCAGTTGGCAGTATGTGTCATGGACAGGTAGACGTGGAAGGGCGGCGACAGGTGAAGGCAGCAGTCCCGATTCGAGGAGCCAGGGTGAGTCTCTGTTAAGTCTCCAAGAAAGAGTGGACCGGCGGAAAAAACGGTTTACCCTACAAGCTTGTCACCCTTTCCAGCCCCTTTGCGTGCGGCGCTAGCGTAGTCTTTTGAGCCGGGCGAAGAAGAGTCAACGTTGGCAAGGGGTCCTTTACCGTTGTTGGACGATTTCTTGCCCGATGACTGCTGAGACTGCTGTAGAGGCTGCTGTCTTGGGTTTGGGTTTGCTGAGGGGGTCTGAGGAGCAGCACCGTTACCGGCGCCCGTGCCCGCCTGCTGGTTCAAACCGGCCTTGTTGTATTTCCTCTTCTGATTGGTGCCCATGTTGCTAATCTGTCTCAGACTCTTTTCTATGATAGAGATGGTTTCGTGGTGTCATATTAAGAAAAATAAAAATAAAATGGGTGGACAGAGGAGAAAGACACACAGAGTGACATCTCTTCGTCGACGCCAATATGAGTACCCTCAACTCTGCGTGAGCTGAGGTCCCAATATGGCGAGGTGGTATATGCCTACCACCGGAGGCCGGCGAGTTTCCTCTGTTGTGATGTGACGAGGAATGTCAAGCGGTGACCGAGCGTGCTCGGTCAAGGCT